AGAGTCTGCTGCCTAGTCTTCCTCTGCTGTTAACAGGGAGCTGGATGGTCAGGGGGCTGAACAGCAAGTACCCCAGGCAGCACGGCAGTGTGGTCCAAATGGGTATTACTTAGCCGTTTTCTTTCATTCCAGCACAAAGCAACCAGGATTGCTGCCTGTCTTACACCAAAGTGCGCCTGCCTCGGTGGGCCCTGAAGGGTTACACTGAACAGCTCTCCAGTGAAGTCTGCGATATCCATGCCATCATGTAAGTTACTTTTCAGACAGTCCTCTGTTTTTTCTGACACGTGTTAACCTTTAGATGTCTGTTTGGGCAGAAACAATGATTTGGACATTAGAAGCATGATTTTTTCTTGCTTTTTAAAAAACATTAACTGAATAAATTGTATACAGGGCCTGTCAACAAAATACACAACCTTTAGTTGACAGGGACTACTAACTCACAGGACAGCCATACAATATAAATAATAAATCTGTTTAGGAATCAGCTGTGCAGACACGCTTCATCTCCAGCTGTGGGCCATGATAGCCAACAACAGGGTGTTCTCTTGCCAAAACCTGTTAACAAACACATAAGCGACAAGAATTTTCTTAATTCACAGAGATCAGAATTTTTTTTCCACAAGGTTTTAACCTGCTAAATGTTGATCTGTCACCTTACTTTGACAGCAACTATTCTCTTTAGTTTCACAAATTATATCTGGCTTCCAGCAAAGCTTTTTGTCTCTATAGTTCCAGTAAATTGCACGCAACTTTACAGTGCAGAAAATGATCCCTGAGACTGAAGCAGCTATTGCATTTAAATTTCATTAGGTGTTTCTTATAGTTCATATGGTGTTGGAGGGGTTGTGGAGCATCCCATGTCTACCTGATAATTACAAAAGCAGTTGCTATTGTTTATTATATAGAGAAATTATGATGCGTATTTTTTGACCAAATGCATCTTCACAGCATTTACTAGCAGAGATTTCTAATGATTTACTGATCTCTTTATCATTATTTCTTTTCCAGTTTCCACACCTACAGAGGGCTGAAGGCCTGTGTAAATCCTCAGGAAGGCTGGGTGAAGAAGCATCTTCTTTTCCTGAGGTAGGAATCTAAAAATCTAAACACTGCTAGCCTGATGAAAACAGAGCATGTGCAAAAGCCCATTTCTTAAATCTCCTGAACTTCACCTCCCAATGGCAATGCTGAGCACATTTGTCTTTCCATCTCTTGTCAGACATGGCTAGTCTTCTCGGGGACAGTCATGTCACATGTCCCCTTTTTCTACTGGAGGTATTCTCTCAGGAGATGCTATATTTTGGAAGGAGAAACCTATAACTGACCTGTGGCCGAGGCCATTATTTACGTGTGTTCTCTCATTCTTTTAACAGCCATAAGCTCAAGAAGATGTCAATGTGACACGGTTTCCAGCAGGGAACAAAACACAGACGTGGCTGAAGAACCACAAGGTTCAACCTCTCGGTTGAGATCGTCATCTTGTACACTGTTGTGTGCTTACTCACCACTATCCCTGGCTTCTTTGGAACCGTTGAACTTCTTGAGTTGATTCATATTGCATCGCTGTTTTGCTTGAATTAAGCATTTTGTTAAAGTTTCTATTTTTACTAATACATGTACGTTACTAAAATGACATTGAGTACTGTTTAGTAAGGATTACCTTAAGCTGTTGTACAGAGTATGAATTTTATTAAGTTTATTGCATGTTATTTTTGTTTCATTCAGCATGTGTAAAGCAGGTTATTTATTCTGTTTATTTTTGTTAGTTCTTTGGCACTGTCTTGTGCCAAAATGTTTCTTTTTAACTGTAGTTAGCATTATAGTACTTCTTGAACTATTGTTAAACAATGTCTGCTTGTGGAAAAAATGGAAATTGGAGTTTTTTAAAAAAAAATGTTAAAATCTGGACTTTGTGTGATATGTTTATTTTTTTACTTGAAAAATGTGACTTCCCCTTGAAATTAATTCCTTTGCTTATGAGCCTCCAGCTGAAACAATTACACAACTGTACTCACATCCGTTAAAGCCACTTTCCACCTTGCTCACTTTGTTTGCCCTGTGGGTAGCTATGATCTCCACAGGATAGAATTCCTTCCTCTCTCCCCCCAGACAACAGCTATATATGAAGATTTTGCTTTAACATCAGGACCTGTTCCTAGCTCAATGTCATCTTAATCAGATTTGAAAGAATTTCTTTTACTAGTTTCTGTATTTATTCAGAAGAAACCTTACACACAGTGCTACAGAGCCATCTTCTACCTCATTCACTGAGAAGGATTATGACTATGGTAACATGGTCTGCACTCAAGGGCTGTCTCTAGAGGAGAAATTTGCAGTGCTTTCCTCCCTTTTATGTGTTTCCTGTAGTATCCTGTGACTTCTAGTATAATGAGATTTTCCTGATGCAAGATCTCTTGATGGACATCCGCAGACACTACTGCAGTACAAATGATGCCTGATAAAACTAACAGGACTTCCTGGAGTAGGTAGGACATGCGTGCAGGTTGAATGGGGAAGGCTGCTCAGCTTTTTAGGTACTATTACATGGCCCATGTGGACTTCAGGGACGTGACCAAGTAGGCTGTGCAGGTTTAGTCTTCTCATTGTCAGTGCCAGAGTCTTGCAGATACAGCTGGGTCTTGGCTTTTGGTACAATTTAGTCATAGAGATAGAAGCATTAATTCTAATTTATTTTAAACTTAAATGTAAAGTATTTTTGGTGTCCTTGAGAGAGGAGCTGAGAAGTGTTGGATTTTCTACTTCGTGTTCATGAGTGTAAGGCTGTTATTTTCTGGTTTCAAAATTTGCTAGAACCTAATCTGCTTGCTGCTCTGCAGATATGGGAACTGGCAATTCTCTGTGGGTGAAGCTCTGAAGGCACAAGATTAATTGGCTTTAATTTCCAGCAGGTGGATTCCATGTCCCTGATATTAAGGGCATCATGAAAGAAGCTATTGGCTTCCCAGGGATGAGTAATTACTCAGCATGTTCCCTGGGGATTTCCATAACTTCTGGGCCAAACCGCAGAGCTCTGTCTCATACCTGCCAGTACTGGTGCAGGCTCTTCTTTGGGTTCAAAGAGCTTGCAGACTAAACCAGGCACCAACAAAATGGAATGGACAACATGAATGGATTCGTGTTAAAACCATCAGAAGATGAGGTTCGCCCAAGCCTCCCTTGGGAATAGGTAGGCATCGGTGGAGGTGTTAGGAACCAGAGCTATATATGAACTTGGTGGAGGAAAGCCTGGAGTCCAAGCTAGCAAATTCAAAGCAGGGAAGCACAATAAGCAAGTGAAGACTGATGTGTGAAATTATGTGGGTGGCTCTTTGTACTCCCAGGTCAGGCCTGTTGAAAGTTTTGCATTGCTTCTGCAACTCATCCTTCCTCTTGTCAGCCATTGGCTCCATTGCCACAAAAACCTAGATGCTTCGTCCATAGAGCTATGAATCATGGAGGTTATTTTTTTTTAGTTCCTCTTATTCTGGTTGAATATTTTTTTTATAACCAACCTCATTGGAGGAAAAAAAAAAATTCAGAATCAGTTTCTGTGCTTAATAACATAGATCAATAGTGTTGTTATGTTACCAGCAGGAAATTCCATGTAAAAATAGCATGTCCCTCCACTCATTCCTGAAGATACAAACAGGTATTATAAGCGGGTGCTGTGTGTCCAAATTCATCAGATTCAAGGCATGTTTTTGTGAGTAAGTAAGCTTAAGTAGCCAGTAAAGTTCTGACAGCTCTGAAAATCATGACCATTTCTAGGAAAACCTTAATCCTGATTACTTTGGTGGGGCTATTCTGCATTTGTGTAGGTAAGTTTCTTTTTCCTCTGTATCTCTGACCCTCAGCTCCTAATTCCACATGTTCAATTTTGTTGAAGAATTTGAGTTGCAGTATTAGATGGTCATTTGGGGACTTTTTTCTTCCCTTTGTATATTTTTTTAAAAAACAAATTATTTTTTTCTTGCAAAATGCCAATGAGGCATTTTTTTACAGCTTGGCTATAATTTGGATCAGTGGGTGTGAGAGCTTCCCCTTCGAAGTCTCAGCACAACTTCATACTTTAGTTCCAAAGTCTCCTGCTCTTGCTGTATTGAGATCAGTTCTTGGTGATTCCTGTGCATGCTGGACTATTATTATTGAATCCTATTTGTGCATATTCTTTCTGTGGGTTTTGTTTGTTTGATTTGTTGTTGTTTTATTATTATTTTAAATTTTGCTTCTTTTTTAACTCTTTTTTTTTTTTTTTTCCCTTAAAGCAATCTCTCACCATTCCCAGTCAGAATATTGCAGCATTTCATTAGCTTGGTATATTTCTCAGAAAATTTTCTCTTCATATATGGACTTTTAATTAGATTTACTAATTTCTTAATACTTTTTTCTCCCGCTCCAGCACAAAGCAACCATGATTGCTGCCTTTCTTACACAGAGGAAAGTGCCTCCTAGGGCTCTCATCAGTTACATGGAGCAGCTGTCAGTAGAAGCCTGTGAAAATAACGCTATTTCAAAGAAATTCAGTAGTATGACCAATATTGATTAGCATTGCCTGATGCATGGATTTGGATCTGTTCTAGTTCTGGATTTGGCTCTGTTCTTGGCTAGTGGAAAAATGTGTTTAATTACTATATTTTTTCATACCTGTGTATAGTCCTATGAAATTATCTATATAGAAAAAGGTGACAATGAGGAATGGCTTTTAGTATGCATTTTTATCTGTCACTGCACACAGTTTAAAAACCAGCAGGTGTTAAATAAGGTAGCAGAGATGTTGATGACAAAAATAACTTAGCATTGCATGGGCAGTGATTTTTATAAGGAATAGTAATCTTTCTGATTTCATTTTGCTGTTAAAATATAAAACCTGCCACATCTCATCTGCTGGGTTAGTACTAACAAGTTATTTGTCGCATTACTGTTCAGTTGATGGTAGCTCCTAACTCTCAGTTGAAGACTGTTTTTTGTTCCTCATCTCTTTTATTCCACCTCCTACATACGTAGTAAAGCACGTGCAAATCCAAGAGACAAATGGGTGAAGACCCTTCTTAACCTGCGCCATGCATGTCTTCAAGTATATTATCTCACCAAAAGCCAAGCATTACTGGCTGTGCTCGGTGACAATGACACTTTTAGCTCTTTCAGAGGAGTGTTGATAATTGGTCAGTTATTTTCAATTACCAATGCCAACAAGCCCATATGTGACTCAGCTACACTCCTGATGAACTGGAATGCATCGTTCAGGTGTAATTCTGTTGAGCAGAGAATTCGTCAACCAAGAAGGGCTTTAGTATTATTACACTGTCACTCCATTTTAATGGCATACGCCCAGCTGGGTAAACATCCAAAACAATACAGATGATCAGTTGTAATAAGCCTTCCGTATGCTGAGCTCAGCTGTGTTATGCCCTGACAGTCTTATTTCAAATACCAGGCTATAGGCAACTTCCTTTGCCAAAATATGAATCATGCAAGAAGTTTTTAGTTTTCAGACTAAAACCAGTGCATTATGTATCCTAAGTTTACTAAGTGATTATAGTTGTATGACTGTACATAAATGGAAAACTATGATCTGTGTTCCTTTGATCTTGTGGTTGCTCTGTTCTGGGAGGTGTCAGCCTTAACTGTCCAGTACTGCAGTCCTAACTCTGTCAGAGGTTATGAAATTGCTGTGTTTGTTCCTTCTGCATTATCAGTTGCAGACAGGTTCCAGTCAAAGCTCACCAAGAGTTGCTGGCGTTAGATCTTATAAATATGATATACAATAGATACAGTGCTGTGGCTGCTACTACATATTAAGCATAGTCTATTGCTTATGTATCTACTACTGTGAATAAAACCAGGCACTTGTTTAATAGTCTGTTATCTTCCTTGAATTTCTAGCGTCATTCCAAGATTATGCAATCCAAAACACATATTAAAGGTAAAGGCATCAGATGAAACTTAGAATACTGTATGCTTTAAAAGCAAAAATGTCACAGGAAAAGTAGAGACTAAAATACTATTGTTAATTGTTATTATTAAATTTACAACAGTAATTATATAGTTTTGCTGATATGACTTCAGTTATACTCCCAAAATAAAGTAACAAATTTTATTTGTAAGCATCTGCATCTACATTTCTGTGTTCCTGAAATTTTGTTACTCCTTAACTTTAAATTGAAAACTCAATTGTTTTACACTCTCTTTGTATCAAGTCTGGGTTGAGATCCCCTGAAAAAAACTGATATATGGACATTATACAGAGCATAAGGAATTGTGCGGGATGCACTTGCAATGCCTGTTCTATTCTAAAGGGATTTCATTTACCATCACAGCCACACAGCTGCATGTACAAAAGTGAGGAAAAGAGGGATTGTGCATGGCAGATTCTCGTAGACTAACAGCGCCAGCAAAGGGATAAGAAAATCCAAGGAGAAAGAGCTACCTGTCTCTGCGAAGAGGTGACTGATGTAAGTGGGAGTTGACTTTGTGTATGGATATCTGTTCTGTGGATAAAAAGTCTCTCTCAGTTTCTGTTAAATCTGGTTTCTTCCCAATTGTTAATGTTCTTATTGGAGAGATGTCAAGGAACACATGAGATGCAATCACTAAGGTTCATTAAATACATCATTAACTCCTACATGCATTAATTTACAGACCTAACCTCTTGGTTAAATCCGTTTGTATGATCTCTGGATTCAATGCATTCCAGTGTAGTAGGTTTTCACAATACTCAGTCACCTGAAGTATCTCGATTTACCTAAAAATCTCAAGCTTCACAGTGATTTTTTTTCTGTAGTCCTCAAAATTACGGAGACAGCCTTGGAAAATAATAGATGAATAAGAACAACTCAATGGCTTTTCACACCTAAGCTAGCTGTATGATGTTTTGATATCTGACTCATTTTTGAGAGGCAGCTGTCGTAATGAAATTTAAAGGGAAGGTTATTACCATGTTTCTTGCAATGAGCACTGCTTTCAGTTATCAGAAATTATGATCTTGAGCCAATTTTCAGTGGAAAAAAAATCGCAGTCCTGGCTGAAGTTAAAGATGCATATGTTCTTTCTGCCTGTTTGGCTTATAGTGTTTTTTTCCATCTTCACTTCTTTACTGCTGGAGATGGATGTAATAGTCCACTGGCTTTGGAGAAGATTTAGCGTGCTCAAGAGCTAACATTAACTGTTGCCTGTGCCATGGTAAATGAGAATACATGGAAAGCTGTAATAAGATATCAGATACGCTTTTTTGTTAGTTGGAGGCTTCTCAGCCTGCGAAGAATAACTCACTTGGTAAGACATGCTCATGGTAAGAACGAGGGAGAGAAAGAGACAAACCAATTTGTGGAAATGGGAACAGTGTGGCCTAGTACCTGGGCTCCCTGGTGAGAAAGCCTGAATGACAGGATCCCTTCAATAGACACCTACAGGATACAGTAACTTAGGAAATAAGTATTGAGATAGTGCGGTTGGAGTACCATGCTAAGTGAAGGCATGTACCACAGTGTATGAAACACAGCACAAAGTATTTCTCATTTCTAAGTTAAACTTCAGGTACATTTGTGATGCAAATTGTAACTGTCTTCCGGCCATGTGGCCATAAGACAAGGCAAAACATTTACATGTAGGCAAAAATTTTGTGTAGGGTGGTCTAGTACAACAAAATTGTACTAGACTCCTCCTATACCTTCTGGATGATAACACTGAATTAAAACAGAGATTGTTCTTGAAGGAAGATGGCTTGCAAAGGGACAAACTCTCTACCAAGAATTCATATAACCAATATTGAGGGGTGACAGCCTCTTCAGGTACCAAGGGCAGAGGAACATTACATCTGTAAGAAGCTACAGATGAATACCTGGCTGGGGGCATAGCAAGGTTTTATGCACTGACCATCAAGCCATCTAATTAGGGTTGTGTCAGTGGACATGGGTTCAAGAAAGTGGTCCAATTTGCAGTGAAATTGTCAATTACAGTGTCAAGATTAAACTAGTAGTTTAATATCCTTGCAGCGTCATTGGTCAGGTACAAAGCTAGGAAGAACATTATAAACTTACAAAGTAGGCAAATGGGAACTTCAGAATGATAGATTTAATATGGCAGATAAATCAGAGATGCAGAGTGGTCACTGTGGTGACTTAAAACTGTTCCCTCAAATGTGGCAGTGTCTCACGTATGAATAAACTTTGTTATACAGCTGTATTTATGGAATAGAAAGCAAAACATTAATATAAAAACGTCATGCATATCTGAAAAATGATAGTATTTTAGCTATATGCCTTGCTACAGTGCTTTCTTTTTTCAAATGTACATTTGCTAGAGCTGGTTGAAAAACATGATTATGTGTGGGGCATCTGTGGGCATCTGAATGTTTCATCTTGTTATGACTAGGAATAAATGGTCAAAATGTCTTTCAGAGTCAATACAAATCTCCAAGATATCTAAGATACTGCAAATCTCAAAGAGTTGCTCACTCTATAGCATCCTCCAAGCTAGTATAAGAGCTGGCAAAAACATTTTATGAATTTGAAAGTGGGTAGTGCTGTATTAATTAATTTCAATGAATGGATGATTTACATATATATATTTTTTTTTGCACATCCATATGAAATACATAAAAACTGACGGTAAAGAAACTTAGAAAACAAGAAACACAGAGGCAATGCAACAGGACTACCACACCTAGTGAAGGCATATAGATATGTAGAAAACATGATGGTTTCTGTGAAACGCTTAATGAATTTTGCCATTATAAAAATGAAATATAAAAGCCCAAATGAGTCATTTTGACTTATTAATTAAAAACAATGGTGAGACGAACACACTTTCACTTTAATGAAGTGTTTTCTAAAGCAAAGTGGCTTTCACTACTTATCTTTTTCAATTCTATTGTAGACTTACTAGAAATCCTGTTATTTGTCAGGAGCTTTTTACTTCCTCCTGACTCAGAGTGGTTTGACCCAATTGTGTGTTCCGTCTATGTAGGAGAAGTGCTCCTCTATTTTCCTCACTACGTGCATCCGGATACCTCACTGGCTTTCATCTTGCAGCTCAGATAATCTGACTGCAGAATACTTCTGTAATTACTTGATACTGTCAGCTTTGCTGTCTTGACTGGATGACACAGAGTTCTCCAAAAGGTCTTCAGCCCCCTACAGTCTGCACCACGGAAAGAAAGATTAAAGGCATTTCTGAGTTCTTCTCAGAGAGGGTAAGATAGATAGATCTTCTTTTTTTTTCCTTGGAGGTTTTTTTGTTGTCAGGTCTACCCATCAGCTTGGCAAAGGTTAGGAGGAAAGGCCCTCCCTTAAAAAGCGTACAGCAAGGAAAAGCTTTTTTCAACTAAATGAAAATTTGACTGAAACAAGCAAGAATGTATGGAATTTGCCTGACTGCATTGGATATGTAAGCAGAGTGTCAGAAATGGCGGACGGAAGAAAAGAGCAAAGAAAAGAACTACTGTTCCTTTCTGGTACATTGTTATTATCTCACTGTAAGTAAATAACACATGTGAAGAGAAACTTGTAGGTCACACACACTTTCTAGGCAGACAGCAACTACTAATTTTTTTTTTTAATTCGAGATAACATTAAATTATCAGCCATACAAAGCTGAAAAACAATGTTTGGGAAAGAGAGCACATTGTTCTTTAACACACTGTCAGCTCTTTCTCCCAGAATAGCTCTTGCATAGCAAATAGCAAACTCCCAGAAGATCATGTTCCCTATACAAGTAATATAGTTTCAACATTTTTAATGCCTGCGGTGTCATGATTAGCACTGGAAATAACAGAACAGAAGTGAGCTCTAGCAATGCATGAAGAAGTGTGTGTATAGCGCTGTCTGGTTGGGCAAGAGTAAGCAGATTATCCACGCCAGAATAAAAGAATCTTGGACAAAATTACCTAAACCCATTTAATTCACCAAGTAGAAACACGGAAATATCAAAGCACAGATAGACCTGACAGCTACGAGAAAGAACAGCACGTGAGAAAGGACCACATGCAAGAACTCCCCTTCGTAAAAATTCACTGCACCCGTTACTAACACAACAGAAATAGGAAGTGGCTTTCTACATCTTTCCCTTAACTCAGACTACTCTTGGGCTGGCCTTTCTGATTCAGTTCAGTATACCGCAGACTGACCTACTTCAGAACAAGTGGGTCATGAGACAACTTTAAATCAGGAAGCCTAAAACCCACTCTTCTCTGCAAGCAAGAGTGTGTTTGAGTCAGAAACACTTTCTTCTTGTTATCCTTCTTAGGACAGTACCTTGGCTCAAGAGAGATTTTTCAGAACCTCTGTTGGCACAAAGAACCCAGAGCTCTCAGAAAGAAGCTCTTCATTGTAACTATATTAATCTTGCTTCATACTGTCCAACACAGTTGTCTCCAGCACTCTAGATAAGTGTACAGTGCAGCCTTTCAAAGCCTTTTGAGTATTGACTGATAGTGAGGTTTGTAGTATCTTAACTTGCTGCCGCTCCTGCAAACTGCTGACGTAACCAAAAGTGCACAGGGAGCAACTGATGCATAACTTATCTTTCCAGGCTGACAACATCAATACATTTGATCTATGTACATAAAAGCTGATTATCTATCTCACCCAGAGATAAAAATGACTTCAGATCCCAGATGAATGTCTCAGCACATAATTTTTTCTTTCCAGTGTGTTTTGAACTCTCTACAGTGGGTATGCAGATTCTTTGAAACTGGCCTTTCCTGGCTTAGAGGCCATGTGTGCTCCTTGGATGCTAGAAAATATCAGGGCAACAATTTTGCCCCAGCAGGCTAAAAATTTTCCTTCTAAAAGTATACACTAGTTGCGCATTTTGCTGTACTCGAAAGAGAGATACATTTCTGCTTAACAGTCAAGGCTTAGTGGTATGGACTTTAGCTAGTCTGCTATATCATCAGAGTCCCTGCCTGACTAGTCGTCAAGTAACTGGTTGTGTTTAAGTCCTTTCCTTCCTTCCCTCATTATAGTTTTCACCCTTGCTGCCTTAAGTCTCCTTTGGTAATCCTACCTGTGCTACCACTCTGGTTCTATTTTGTCTGAGGCCTGATTTGATTTATCATCTTCCAGTGTCATTATTGTCTCTTAATCCCAGGCGATGACAAGCTGTGAGGTGTGCATGTTCAGATGGAGATCTACAGCAAGAGAGCGAGGAGACAATGAGCTGAACATCTCAGAGCTTTGCAGCCTTTCCACTTCCTTCTCCCCTGTTTAGACTGGGGACGCATTTTCATTTTCTGTGTCTCATGAAAAGCAAACAAAAAAAAAGCTTGTTGGCATATGATATGCAAAGCCTTGAAAAAACGATTGTTCAAGAATAATTGATTCAGTGATGGAAATGCAACCCTGAAGTACAGAATTGAAGAGATGCTTACCACATAAGTTACAGCTGAACGACATAAGTTACAGCTGAACGACAGACTCCTTATTTATGGTGTAGAGAAGTATCAAGCCTTTAAATTTGACAAAAAAAATTAAATGTAGCACTTCCAGTTGGTGGTAAGTAATACTGAAGGCACCAGAAAGGCTGCATGGATGTGTGTTTGTGAAGAACAAAGAAGGTGTTAATGTAGGAAGCAGTGCCCACGCCGTGTTCATTGTTCGCATCACTTAAGTTAAAAGAACAGAAAAATATTTATATTCTGAAATTATAATCTGGGTGGATACATATTATGCTAAACAAATACAAAAAGCTATTAAGACATTGGAGACCAGCAAGAATAGGGTTGTTCAAAAAGTTCTTTTTGAATAGGGTTCGTCCAAGTAAGTCAATTCAGTTGGAAAGCTGTTTGGATTATTTGTTTTCAATAAAAATATTTCTTATCTGCCTCAAGACTTTCCACATACAAATAAGACAAAAGATTTAAACAAATAAACGGGAATCAAAAACCCAGAGACCACTCTGTCCCCCAGTCATGTCCCAAAGTAAACCTGGAATTGGCCATTTTATTTTACTTCCTGGCTTTCAAAAACCAAAGGACTGTCTTCAAAGTGAAGCTGTAGGGAGCCATATGGGCGTTTTTGGAAAAGTCACGTACTGTTAAACACTGACTGGGACTGTCTTCTGTTGACCCGTTGTCAACAACGTGGGCTATGACGAGATTTGCTAAATGAAAATGTGTTCGCTGCTTCCCCCTATTGATGTCCTACAGTCACTTCTGCATAAAGCTGGACTCAAATTTTTAGATCTATCACTACATTATCTTTTAATGATTCCACGTTGGTTATCTCTTTTCAAATAGATTTTTTTTCTTCTGTCTTTGGTGAAACAGTGTTGTCATACTCATATATCTGTCCTGAGTTTCTCTTTATAAAAATACAGCTGAGAAGTTTTTTTCTTCCTTGCCTGCTTTCCTTAGTACTTGACTATTTGCTTTTCAAATAGCTTTCGTACATTTGTGATGCCGTTACTTGTGGCTCTTTAGCACTCCTATTTATCCTTTTTTTAGCGCACTCTAGCATTTGAAGAACTGGAACTTTCCTTTCTGCGGCACAAACTGGAAGCCCTGGCAGCTTTGTATGAATTACAGCGTGAGTAGTTCTCTAGCTGATGGCATTCGGGGTAGTCAGCACGAGCTGTGAAAATGGCAGAAAAGCCTTGCAATACTAAGTGAAAGAACAACAACAGGCAGATAAAAATAAGCGGGGATAATTCTAAACCTATGCAAATGTGAGAAAGCAAACTTAAGTTTGGCTAAACAGTCATGGGCTTCCAGCCAGCTGTTACTACTCTGGTAACATCTTGCAGTTCTGCTGAAATAGCAGTCCCTGAACGTTATGCATTCACAGAGGAGTATGGGGAGTGGGAAATAAAATGGCACCATGCTGCCATTATCAGACCAGCTCCCTCACGGGAGGCCTCAGCTGGGGGCAGGAGGAGGACATCGCCGTGCCGAATGCCTTGGCGGTGCGGCCATGTCCTCCTCCT